AAAAAAAGAAAAAAAAAAGAAAAAAAAAAGAGGATAAAATACGGATTAAAATTTTTGTTGCATAATGGTGATTTTTAAACAGTTCAGTTCTTTCTTTCTTTTCTTTTCTTTCTTTTTATTTTTATTTTTATTTTAAGTTAGAACAAGGGCCTGCTTTCTTTAATTCTTGGTTAGTATTTGCTTTGTACTTAGACTGCTTGTATACTGTATGATGTTTTGCTATTAGCAGAAAGAATTTGCAATATCCTTTGAAATGATAGGAAAACTAGAATTTCAGGTTATTATTTTAATGAGAAGTATTATCTTTCGTTTTGAGAGTACCACTTCGTGACAATAATAGAATGAGATGTTGATCTCTAATTAATTCATGGGAATTTAACTTTAATTAGCTATTTCACAGTATAATTATAATGCACCATTTTTTTTGATCGGTAATTATAATGCACCATTAATTTACAGGCAGATGATGTAATAAGACATAACCATTCATTTGAAAATTAAAAAGAAAAGAGTATAACATTAATCTACTCCTTTCAATAGGCATATAATCATCCTCATTTTTCCGTATTTCTAAAAGAACAAATCACATTAAATATTCTGGTCTTTTAAAATCCACAATGACCTGAAAAAGAGAAAAATGCAATCGCATTCTTTTTCTTATTTTTAGTAATTTGTTTTGCTCTGCATAATTAATGGGGATACTGTCGATAGACTAACAGGTCTTTTGCAGCAGAAGGGAGATATGCTGAGTTCTATCATGAGCCAGTAACCAGCTTTATAAGGTTAGGCTAGTCATAGTTGTGCACTAGCATAGTCTTCAATTATATGATTAAGATTAGTGTTGTTTTTGGATGGTTTTAAGATAAATAGTCGTCGTCAATTTGTCACGATGCTTGTAATATATTCGATTAAAAGAAAAATACTTCTTGCTCAGATCTGAGAGCACTGGAGGAATTGAGGCAGTTCAAACTTCCAACAGGACATTGAGTGTTAAGAAAGCTGTTGTCATTGCAGCAGGCTGCTGGAGTGGTTCAGTGGTGGACAACTTAATAAGAGATGCTGGTATTAAGATAGATGTCCCAGTTAAGCCTAGAAAGGTGTGATTTAGGCACCTCGTCTTACTATTTTTCTAAATTTCTAATCACTGCATCTCAGCCATGTATGCTTTACCGGGTTTCTTGAGTTTTTAACGGTACTGAGGGTGACTCGCTTGCTTTAATGATTTGTAGTTTCTATTCTACCCATATATTTTCAAGAGTTAAGAAAACGTACTTTGGAGTTCGGATAATATTTCCTGTTTCTACATTTGGGTGATATTTCTCTTTCAAGCTTTCACCATGGTCAATTGGCCACGTGGGAGGTTGAAATTGTCAAGAGAATCAGTGCAAGTAATTTCACTAACCTGTATGTGACCAGGGTCATCTGCTCATTCTAGAGAACTTCAAACCTTTTAACCTTAATCACGGGCTTATGGAGGCGGCTTACGTCAGTCATGAATCTGCAAAACTGAGCTCCACCAGTACAGATTCAAAAACTGGATTTGATGCAACTATCGCGTCTATTTCAATGACGGCTACCACGGACTTGTCGGGAAAGCTCGTGTTTGGTATACTTCTGAGCGCTTGTTAAAATTTCTTTTGATGGGGCTGATTCAATATGTAGGATTCATTATTATCTAGAGCTAAGCCGTAAATGAGGTACTTGCAGGCAATCTGTGGCATGTGATTCCGCAATTATCCGTGGGACCTATCATAGTTAGTGATGTTATTTTTATTTGATAATTTATTTCAGTTTCTTACGTGTTCTTTCAAATTGGTGTCTGTTGATTGCAGGGAGCAGCCGTGAGATTGTCGGTTTCGACACCAAAATAGACGAGTCTATCGTAGAACGGATCTGGACACGGGCAAGCGAATTCTTTCCCGTGCTGAAAAAATCATCCCTAAGAGATATGACCGACAGAAGGGAAGTGAGAGTAGGCCTGAGACCCTACAGTAAGTTTGTCTCGCATGGAAACACAATCGACTTAATTACATATAATGCCAGACTAAAATGACATTTTGTTTGTATATTGCGTAATTTGTTACAGTGCCTGGTGGGAAACCACTGATTGCACCTGTGCCTGGACTATCAAAGGCCTTCCTTGCCGCTGGACA